AATGAGAAATTACCTGTCCTAGCTAATCCAGAATCATTTCCTGGAAAGTTGGGAGAATGGGACCGAATTTAATGAATTTGAACAGGCTGCCGCTGAATCACCGAATCAAACAATTCCTTATTTTTTACTTTGAATTTGTAGTTCAAATTTGAACCGGCAGTAGGGAGTTCAGCGACGTAGCTCAAATTAATGAAATTCGGTCCCTGATAAATTTAAATCCTACCTCCAACTCAAGTTGCCATTTCTCACTTTGAAGTTGTTTAATACTCTCTTCAGTCTGCAAAATACTTCGCTGCTTATCAGCTTGTAACTCCAGGTTTACCCCCACATTCCCAACACACCTTAATAGAAGGAATTTATCGGAGTTTTTTTTATCCAATAAACGTCCAAACGGCTGAACCGAACGGGCCCACAAATTGTGTGCGACCGCAAATGAGCCCAAGGAAGGTTTATGAATGCAAAATTTCAAAAAATTGTCTCCAAAATTTTAGATTTTCGTTAAATTTTGATAATCCACGAAAAAAATTGATAATTCTCAAAAAACTTTATTTTTGTTTTATAGAAGAGAAAATGTTAAAAGATTAAGCAACTATTCAAAGAAGATGGGCGCGCAGCGCCCGGATGACTAAGTTCTTTTAAAAACAGAACTGATAAGCTGGTATAAAATGAAAAAAAGCAAACCTGTTCTCCTCCTTGAGCTGGTTCAGTGTCAGCTCCATGTTCTCCAGCTTCGTGTTCACCTCCTCCAGAAATATCTTCAACTGGACCTTCTTGGTCTCCAGATCGGATCTAGAATTCAATAAATTATTTTTATCCGGCCCAGTCTAAACATCTAAATATATATTCTGCTCGTTTGCTTTAACCCATTAGTGACGAGACCATTAACTATTTGTGAAGTTGTTTTAGAAGGATCTTGTCAAAGCAAAACTTGACTGTACTCATGAAAAAATGATATTTAATTAAATTTTTGATTTTTTTTTGTACAGGAACCTGTAAAACATGAAAATCTAAAAAACTTTGGTAATTCATAATTATTTAATTATCTTCAAAACTTTTATAAAAGAAGATTCCAAAAATATCTTTTAATTTTTTCTTTTTTTCTAGCAAAAAAATTGACAATTTTATAGATTCAAATTACAGAGTGTTCTTTTTTTTCCAAATTCAAAATCTTGTTAAATTGAAAATTTAAAAAAAACCAATTTTGAAGTTACGTCAAATATAAAATATGTTTTGATAACAGGAAATCCTAAGGAAAGCGCAGGAAAAGACAAGACAACATTTAGTTTAAGAAAAAAGGCACTTTAAGAAAACCTCACCCGGTCAAAATTGACCTTCTCGTCACTAATGGGTCAATAAAATAAATANTCGAAATTTAAAAAAGTTTTTTTTTTTTGGTGTGCTCTAAAATCCTAGTAATACAAATATAATTTAATAATTAAAGCAAAATTTAAAGCTTTCTACTTAAAAGTAACAAATTAAAGAAAGAAATTGATATTAGACTTTTATTGCAGTTTTAGATATATAAGACCAAAAATAAAAATAAATACATGAAACTATTAATTTTCTTTACTTTTTCTTGAGTAGGGTTTGGTGGTATTGAGCAACCTTCTTCTGGTCCAGGAGAACCTTTTCTAAACTCTGCTTCATCTCGCGCAGTCTTAACAAAACAAATAAAATAACAAAATTTTATTTTACAATTTTTTTTTGATGAAAAATAATTTTTATGATTTAACGATCTCAATGTTTTTGTTTCTTTAAACTGATTATTTTCATTGGCGGTTTCTCTATAAAAATGTGACGTACGCATTACTTGTTTATAAGAAGCAACGGAGAAACTCGCAGAAACTTCTCGAGTCAGAAACCCAACGGTTTGATCAGATTAAGGTTTCACGTTGTAAATCGGACATTGCCATCTTTGCATGAAGGGTCACTTGAAATTACGCTTAAACAGCCCTTGAACAGAGATTTAACTAAAAAAAAACTTACTCCTCGGCTTCTTTAATGAGCAGCTCATTCTTCTCATGCAACGCTCGAACTTCCTCATCCAGCCGTTTCAGCTGACGAAGATCAATCTACGAAAAAGTAAATTTATATTTTCTCCAGCAAATCTTAAAAGTTTATTAGTACTGAAATAGATTTTATTTGGAAGAAATGAGAAAAAATTTCAAATTACTAGCCGGCCCCGATGAGAGAGAGAGAGAGGGAGTTAATAATCGAACGGATAATTTTCACCTCTATTTTGATACAAAAAACCATTTATTTTCACTGCTAAAAAAACACCACCACACATTTTTAATGTATCGAAGAAGATTTTTAAAAGTAGTGTGTGTGTGTGTGTTTTAAGAAAATATAAGCCTTAGCATTTCAGAATTATATATCTATGTATTCCTACCTACTACCTCTAGATTATCCTGGAGTCCATCCATGTATTCCTACCTACCTCTAGATTATCCTGAGGTCTTTCCATGTATTCCTACCTACCTCTAGATTATCCTGAAGTCTTTCCATGTATTCCTACCTACCTCAAGATTATCCTGGAGTCTATCCTTGCATTCCTACCTTTAGATTATCCTGGAGTCTATCATTGTATTCCTACCTCTAGGTTATCCTGGAGTCTATCCTTGTATTCCTACCTTTAGATTATCCTGGAATCTATCATTGTATTCCTACCTCTAGATTATCCTGGAGTCTATCCTTGTATTCCTACCTCTAGATTATCCTGGAGTCTATCCTTGTATTCCTACCTCTAGATTACTGTCTATAGAGAATCCTTGTTCATCTTTGCACGGAAAAGCTATCGGAATAATCTTGCCGGAAACCTTGAAAAATTAAATTAAAATCATGAGCCTTTCCTTGTTTAGAATCTTCATGACAGAAACAAAACTCAAGATCTGAAAGGGGTCAACCTAGACCGACAGTGCATATGATGTGGAACCGTTGGATCCGCAAGATTTTGACTTCCCGGATCCAAGGGGTAAAATATCAACCAAAAACTGCAAAAAAACTTTTGAAAAAAGGGAGATTATAAAAATTTCCTCATTTCTGAATGGTTCATCAAGTTTTAGGATAAATATAAGCGAAAAAAATAAAACAAAAATTTGAAAATAATTTTTTGTTGTTGAAAAATTTCTGTAAATCTTAAAGAAATGACCTGGATCCGAATCCGCATCAGAATTAAATGGATCCTAAGCACTGAAGACCGAAATATATTTTCCAAAGAGGTGGAACTAACACCTAATTGTTTTACTCTGTTAGAGCATCATTATTTTAAGCCTTCCAAATAAATAAATCTGGTTACACACAAAAATGTCAACAATGTTCTAACACTTACAATCTGCCACATATAATAATATCAAAGTCAATAAAATCTGCCACAAAATAACTTTAAAAACCCCATTAAATACGAATATACGGATTCCACTTCGACCTATTAAACAGACCAGGTATTAGGAAAGACTAGCTTTAATGAAAATAAATAACTACATACATCACTAAGCAATTTTTAAAATCTAGGCTTTCAATTTCAATAACATTTTCTCTTTGTATACATTGTAACCCAAGCTAAAACAAAGTTGCAATTTTATTAAATTTTTTTTTTAGATTTTCAAAATGTAATGGAAATCAAATTTTGTTTAGAGGCTATTTTTTGGGGATTTCGATCATCCATAAACCTTCCCTAAGGTCATGTGAGGTCCCACAAAAAAATTGGGCCGGGTAGGCTCAGCCGTTAATTGGATACAAACATGCAAGCAAAGTATATACATAGATTATCCCTTCCTAATTAATCTGTGATGGTTTTAGATCTATCACGAACGGTGAGGATTGTTTAGTGGAAGGGGGGGGGGGCGTATCCTAGAGAATGAAAACCCCTAAAAATGTTTTTACCTTTAGATGCACCTTTGCACTTTCAACGAGAAAGGAAAGACAACCTAGAACTGTCGGCCAACTGTGTAAAGAACCCATTGTAATCAGATTACTTTTGCTGACCGTTCCTTTAAAAACAAGGTTAGTTTTTCTGACCGTTCCTTTAAAACAAGGTTAATTTTGCTGACCGTTCCTTTAAAAACAAGGTTAGTTTTGCGGATCGTTCCTTTAACCAAACCATTAAAAATAATACTGACAAATCTTTCCCAAAATTTTGAGAGAATATTAAGAAAAACAAATACAACTTCCCGTCACTATAATTTGACTAAGTTATATTTGAGAAAGGGAATAAAGAACCTATTGGATTGAGTATTTATATCTGGATCAAAAGGAAATTAGTCCAGCCTCCCTTTTCGATGCTTTTCCCACGGGCCTAAAAATTCAGTTATTTTCCCACGGGCCTCAAAATTCAGTTATTTTCCCACGGGCCTCAAAATTCAGTTATTTTCCCACGGGCCTCAAAATTCAGTTATTTTCCCACGGGCCTCAAAATTCAGTTATTTTCCCCAAATTTAGCAAAAAATTCCCCAATAAATTCGATCTTCAAAAATAAACCGTAAAAGGGGGGATTTTTCATGAAATATAAACCCCTGAAAGTGGCTAACTCGGTAAACCTAGTTCAACTACTTCTAGTCACTAACCTGGATAATTGAGCTCGTTCTTCAGAATATTAATAATCTGATCTTCGGCTTTACTGTAGGGCAGAGCACTGGTTATATCAGGATTGATAAAACTGTAAAATATTTATTAAATAGAGTTTATTAGCAAACATGTAGGGAATAGGGATTATAAAATTAGCGTTAGTCCTGTAAAATCATGTAGAAATTTATCCAAGGGGGGGGGGGAGATTACCTATCCCTGTATGAAATTTTAGGATTTAATTTTTCAAACGTTTTAAAAACAAAAAAAATTTACTATTCCCCCCCCAGTCTTAAAAAAGGGGGGGGATTCACACTGTCAAAATGTGAAAGCTAATGATTGAAAACTCTAAATAATATATCCCTGTATGTGAAGTTGAATAAATCGATGAACTCCTTTGTAGAGAGAGGAAAGTGTTTTGATGTTAGAGCACCATTTCTGTACCCGTTCTCCCTTAATAAATAATATTTCTGTACCCGTTCTCCAATAATAAATAATATTTCTGTACCCGTTCTCCCTTAATAAATAATATTTCTGTACCCGTTCTCCCTTAATAAATAATATTTCTGTACCCGTTCTCCCTTAATAAATAATATTTCTGTACCCGTTCTCCCTTAATAAATAATATTTCTGTACCCGTTCTCCCTTAATAAATAATAGTTCTGTACCAGTTCAATGAGACAGACCGGCTATGTAAGGTAGTTGAACTGAGTATGCAGTTCTTAAGGATTAATTTGAGACATATAAAACTTCAGCTATACTCAATCTTCAGCTATACAAATGAGGATATCTAACTCATCGTTGTCCGGACAAAGATTTAAAGGTACTGTTGTAAATCGGATATGCATTTTAATAAATGAAAGGTCACTTGAAATTACCCTAGTTCCCAAGTTAATTAACCTTCTAATTAACCAAAGAGATTATTAACATATAAATGAGAAATTACCGATGTAATTTACGTACCAAAGAGATAATTAACCGACGAACAATTCAGGAAGAGCTAATTAACCTACAAAAATGAGTTATTAACCTGAGAAAATCAAGTATTTTTTTGACTAAACTGCTCTGATAGGTTTTGTCTGTCAAGGATCTGGTGTCTTTAACGCCAAGTGATCCTAAATTACAAAATATTATTTTATTAGTTTTTAAGAACTATAAAAAAGTAAAAAAGGTTAATAAGTGTTAACAAAACTTGCCTATTGTAGATCCGCGTCCAGAAACTCTACTTTTAGCAGAAGAAAGGAAGGGTTTCCTGAACATTATTTCTTTTAAATCTATTTTAATCGTGATTTTAGGAAGATGTAGCCTTTCATTGAACTTGTTTATATTCAGTTGTTCCAATGATCATTCCATAATCAAAAATTATCAAAACTTATTCGATAAGATAACTGATGTCTTTGTTCAAAATTAAGACACAACAGATGAAAAACATTCTCAAGGACGGTATTGACATTAATTCGTATCAAGGAAATGCACGGAGCAAGTAGTTGTTTACAATCTACTGTGAAGAATTAGAACAGCTCTAAACTAATTTATGGGTAGGCTCAGCCGTTAATTGGATACAAACATGCAAGCAAAGTATATACATAGATTATCCCTTCCTAATTAATCTGTGATGGTTTTAGATCTATCACGAACGGTGAGGATTGTTTAGTGGAAGGGGGGGGGGGCGTATCCTAGAGAATGAAAACCCCTAAAAATGTTTTTACCTTTAGATGNGGGGGGGGGGGGGATGATTTTTAATGAACTGGGAATAAAAAATCAAAAAATGGGATATCAAAAGGCAAGTTTATTTATTCTTGCGCTTTGGACAACCTTATAAATCTTCTGGAAAAAATGATTTTCTAAAAGGGAGGTAGGGAGATTTTGGGGGGAAATATACACCCCTGTCAGATAGTTAACCTTACTGTGGAGTATCTAACTGGTGTCATCATCTCTTTACTTTTCTCCACTGATCGGTTTGCGGAAATGCTTCGAACTAAAACTGTTTCAAGCCATGTTACATTAAAAAACCAGACAATCAAACATATTAATGGCTACTTAATAAGGAAAATAAAATATCTTAATTTAAAACTCAAATTTATTCCATATTTAGACCCCTTTTAATTTAAGGATATAAAATGCATATCATATATTCAACCAGGGTTTTCAAAAGAAATTTATTGACTAAAATTAATAAATTTTTGAAGAACAGTAAAACCACATACAAATTTAGATTATACAATAAACATAAAATAAAAATCGTGAACTTTAACTGATAAATACAAAATATTTACCTGACATCGGAGTCCGCAAACTACTGGAGGATCTGGTTTGATCAGCCCTGGGTCGATCAATTAAAGAGTTACTTCTAACCATAGATCTTCCATCATTCTAGATACATTATATCAGTTTGTTTTCAACAGTGCATAGGATCGGATCCAGATCCGAATCTGTTGGATCCGCAAGATTTTGACTTTCTGGATCCGGATCCCAGGGGGCAAAATATCAACAAAAAACTAAAAAATAACTTTTACTCAACAAGGTTTGGTCCATCATCATCAACACCAAATATGAATTAGTTGACCATGCAGTTTTAAGCGTTTACAAGAATTAGTCCAAGGGAAGCGAGAGATTCAACCTACATCACAAGGTGATGCGATTTTCGTAGATTTGGGGACGAATGATGCAATGCAGGCGTCAAACTGTTACGTTCTATTCCCTTTCAGCTCAAATTTGTTCATTTCGCTTTGTCAGCAAATAAAACCTAACTTAATTTTATTCAACGCTCCGCACTTGCATTGCATGTCGTATGTACCATTGAAACTCAAATAATCACCACTGTTACCTGGTTATTAGCTTTATGAATCTTTGTAATAGGCAGCTTGGATCCGCTGTTCTCAAATCTCCTACTCGTCCTTTCTGTTCCCCGGCTCGTCCTTTCCTTCTCTGCTCCACTCGTCCGCCCTTAAAAACATTTCTAGTTACATTTTTCATGTATGGGATCATCAAAGATAAATAT